CATAAGTATAATACTCCCATACTTATATACCCTGATATAAATCAAAATTTGGCACTCTAAATTGCAGGGTATAGCCCACGTCAATCACCAATTTTGTCACGGCAGATTCTTGATTTTGATTGGCTAACGGCCGTGATCTACAAAATTTACATAATTGAAATGATTTAAAACGTGATCTTAAAAATCATGATTATTAAATCTGAAAAATGTTTTAATACATTATGACATAATTATGATCTGATTGCGTAATTTAAATGTAAGTACAATATTACAAATGTTTAAAAAAATCAAAAAAAATTAAAAACTAACTTTTTATACTGGCCTATGAAGTAATTCGAATCCAATTAGTTAGTGTCAATCAAATTGTTTAAATAAATTTTCCTCCGTGGTTGAACAAGCTCATGTATACGGTTGGACATTGAGTGCGTAAAACAACTTGTAACTATTATCTAAATTTGCGAATCCGAAAAGATATTAAAGATGATGATTGGTATGATGATGTAATAATGATAATTAGTATAAGAAGGATAAAGTATTCGCAAAAACTTATTCAATAATCATATATAGTGATAATATTTTTGTAAATCTTACTTAGGCCTTCAATACTAACAAACGTAAATTAATACAAAATGTAAGGTTGCATTTGGCTAATAGGCACATTATGCATTTAAAAATGCAATAGCTTTGATAAAAATTAAAGCAATTAAATACATTTCATATGTAATACCTAACGCTAATAAATTCGAGCACCGTTTTTTTTAACAAAAATTTTTCTCGATTGACAATTAAAATTAACCAATCAGAAGTAATATTTTCAATTTTAGCATCAAGTTAAAAAAAGGTTTAAACCAATAAAAAGTGTTTAAAAAACAGTTTAACCCGTTTTTTTTTACCATCTCTACATAATTGAGTAATTGTTTTTGAACTCGGACCAATTTTATATTTATGACGTAATGACATTTTGGCCGAAATTAGCTTTTTTTCATTTTCAAAAAATAGAATTTTTTTTTTTTTTGAGAAATAGGCCCGCACAATGGTAAAATTAGTTGTTTCATTAGTAAAATTTTTAAGTAACTTCAGCCTAAATTTTTGATCGTCATTCTTAGCCAATCAAAGTCAAGAATTTTCCAATGTCAAATATCCAGGTTCATTCTGATTTATAACGCATATTGGGCGTACCTGAAATAACGCGATTAACTTATATTTAAAAAAGAATTTCTAGAGAATTTAAACAAATTAAGTTTTTTTTAAATAAAAAGTAAAAAGAAATAAGCAAGAAGATTTATATATACTGTATACTGTATATTTTGAGTCAATTCAAAAACATGTTAAAAATTTTAGTCTTAAGTAAAACAAATTTATATATATTTTAAAGTTTTAATTTTAGATTTTAAAACCTATTGTAAAAGCTAATTTTATTCATATACAGTACATAGTAGTTAGTATACAGTATATCGTGGCTAACTAAGAATGAGATTTGGGATCTCAATTTAAATTTACTAAATTTATTAAAATTCATATATGCTCTTTTATTAATTCTAACATAATTCTAAAAAAAAAAAAATCAAAAAATATATTCAAAAGTTTATGTCAAAATAGTATTAATTCTTAATATTAGCCAATCTTAGCAGCCATGACAATATATATGTCTAACAATATATATTACAATATAATATAAGAGATAAAATTAAGAATGTTATGTGATACCAAAAATTCTAAATGCTGTATATTATAATAAAAATGCTTATGAAAAAATCATCAAACTTAAAATGTTGGACGATCTCTATCTCATATGCACGTATTCAAAATATCACGCTGGTGAGCGTTATTACACGAAAATATGGTATGGAATTCTTTACGCAACGGTTTTAATGATGACAACACGTGATTAAAAGAACTGAAATAATGAATTTGAATTTTAAGGCTCCGGACCTCAATAATTTCAGTTTCCAAAGATTCGCAAATTTTAATTTATGAGAATAGCTGTAAAGCGGATAAGATCCAATGTCCGTTTAAATATTCGATCACCAATTATTCAGATAAATTTCCAAAAATAAGTACATTTCTTGCGGTCAATATTGTTATAAAAAGACTTGCCACAAGCGCTTATTTTTGGAACTTTATACGTAACCTTCGGGTTCATTAAGAAAATGAAAAAAAAAAATTCAGTTTAAAAAGTACACTTAATGATTAAGCCTAGTTTATAAGGAAATTTAAACCTTTAAAGTTTGATTTAGATGAAATTTATTAAGTGGTAGGTTTATCCAGGTTAGGTTTAGAGAGTTGACTGCATACAAGAACTTCAGGCAAGTGACACCTTAGTCATATAGGCGTAGACAATTTTGTAGCCAAATCAAAAAAAAAAAAATATATAGAAATAATAAACAAATATAAAAACAAGTTTTATATTTTTATGCAAAGAAATTATTGAATGAATTTTATCTAATTAATTGTAATTTGTGCTGCTGTGACCTCCAGATCATGAGACATGGTGGTTTAAAATTTGCATCTGGATGTTGGGATTGGACACGTACAGTATTGAATAAATACCATTCGAAAAATTGTGTATACGGATGTTGAACGTCCAAGCAGTATTCTAAAGCTTTGTATTTAGTTTTAACTCACCCACATACCGTACATCTATTAAATAATTTGATTAAAAATTGAAATATTTAAATGATCTATTTAAATATTTATTATTTTAAATTTGAAAAATAAAAATATTATGCTAAGTGATTAATTCTATGTCTAACAGGCAATGATTTTAAAATTTTCTGCTTATTGATTTAACAACTTTGACATTGCATTTTTTCATGTCCTCAATCAATTCCAGTTCCCTTCCACTCCATTCCATCCAACAAATAGGTGTGCAAATAAATGCTAAGGTCCTCATGCTTCTTTTCCTTCTAGCAAATTCTAAAATATCTTCGAAGCATCCATCTATTAGCTCTTTCGAAAATCTAATAATCATAGTTATTATATTAGCTTCACAGACATTTAAAAAATATTTAAACGATCTAGGTGTATATGTAGCATAGTCCAAGTTCAAATAGGTTACGGTAAGTGGAATGTATTCTCCTAATAACCTAATTCCGTCACTAGCATCATTCTCATGAGAAAAGAAGTCCAAATGATCTAATCTTAGGCTTTTAATCCAAGGAAAAAGATAATCATGATTCTCATTTCTTATCTTGATACACAGATGAGTGATATTTGGGCAATATTTATTTGCAACTTCAATCATCTCCCTTGTTATCATGTCCGTCTTCAAATCCCTTAAGGCCTTTCCAGCTTTAGTAATCAATGTTGCAGTAATATCTGGTGACGAAGGATTATCCCAGATGCTAAGACTAGTGAGATGAAAAGATGAATCAGACAAAGTTCCACAATGATCAATTGATATACCTTCACACCATTGAATATCCAATGATTCTAATTTTTCTAACGAAACCAAACCATCAAATGAGATCCCATCCAAAACAAGCATCCAAAGTTTAAGGGTTGTCAATGAATGTGAATGATATTTTAGTGCCGAAATAACATTTTGCGTAAACGTCCCAATCCCAGCAAACTTGAATTCTTTAAGATTTCGTTGAGCTTTAACAATGCTTGAAATTAAATCATTTGGAGTAATTCTATCTTCATATATTGAAACACACATTTTTGAAAGATTTGAAGATTGTACGGGCCAATTCCTTAATAAATTCATAGTATTCTGATAATTCGATATTTCATCGCTTTTATGTCCAATACAACAATCTAAACTCCTTAACTTTGAAAGTCCCGGACGAGCATTCAAGAATACATCAAGTTCAGGAAGATCAGAAGTACCATATCCTGTATTAATACTGATCGATGCAAGGTTTCTACATTTATTAAGAAACATTCGCCAAAATGCATTCATGATCGGTCGTATTCTCTCATCATCAGACCGAATTCTTGTTTCTGTATTTATTCGTAACCAAGTAATTATACCATTTTCCATATTAGAAATTGAAAAAGCCTCTAAATACCTTTCATAAGGGAATAATGTTTTATAGGTAGTAGGAATATAAATGTTGAATGGGATCAAACTTGTAAGTCCGGGACGATCGAGGCAATAGATGTAGGTTCGGACAATTAATGCCCAACATCTAAAACTTGAAAATGGTTGACTCCATAATATTGGAACCACACAACTACACCAGAAACGATTGACAAAAAGACATGTATATAAAGTAGACCGATCACCACGAAGATGCTGTAATATGTCATAGATACAATCATCGGGCAATGGAGGCCTAATCAATTTCGAAAATGTGATCATTTTACTTTTCTAGTATTAAATAAACGAATGTGCTTGTAGTCTAACTAATGATCCAATGGATAAAACGAAGTTGAAGCGATAAATTTTTGTGTAGGCCATAAATAACAAATCTGTGGTCTAGGAACTGTTGTATCATATTAGATACAATGTAATTAAACAAATGTGGAAATATTAGTTAATTGGTTCCGATTTTATTACATGTTTGTCTAGATTCTATCGGTCACCGATTGGTCATTGGTTCATTTATTCGGATGGCTAGTCGTCACAAAAAATTTTTACTGTTACCTGATCTACGGTCATTCCGACTCCGTCCCAATAATTAAAGTTCAGAATTAATGATGACGGTTAACTCTGTATGACAAACATAGTACAAAATAAAGACTTAATAAGAAACTTATAAGAATGGCCAACTCAGTTTATTATAAAGATGAGTTGACAAAGCAATTAGCAGGGTACAGCGCATATTATAAAATAACAATTGTCCAAACTTTCAAATTTTAACGTTAAAGTTTAGTTATTTCAGCCGCTAAGTGCTTAATAAAATAAGTTATTACGTATTATATGCATACTGTACAATTATTTAAAAAAAAATATTTAGTTTATTTCATAATTATGACGTTGTGGGTGATACTAGAACGGCTCCCTAGTCCGAAGAGCATGCCTCGGAACGAGGCATGCTCTTTCATTGTGCCTGGTGTACATAGGAAGACATTCATATGATTGGTTAATTTATGTAGTTCACAAAACGTGTTCATTAACCAATCAAAACAATCCAAAAAAAAAAAAAATTCATACGAAAAGAATACATTTTATTAACGAAGTTTTATTCTTTATTAATTATAATTTTAAAGAATAACTGTAGAGAGCTTTATTTAAACTTTACTATAAAAGTTTTAAGTAGTTTTTTACTGTTTTTTTGCATTTAGTACTTAGTAGTTAGTAATAGTAATAAATATTTGTTTTTCTAAGCAAAGTATCCCAGTTTTAGGATTATTTTGCAATTAATATAAAATACATCTATAGTGTTTATGGTGTTAATAAATTTTTTTGCTAAAATTAAAATTATAGTTATAAAGAGAAATAAAAGTGAATATAAAGATTTAAATTTCAGTTAATATACAATTTGATTGATCTATAGTATAGGTGGGCAACAAACATAAACTAGTAGGTTAGGGTTAGTTTTTTATATATAACAGGGTGTAATATAAGAATATAAATGTTAAGGGTAGGGTGTACAAATTTTCAATTTCATATAAAATAGATTGTAGATCAACTTTGTGTAATGAATTTTATAT